AGCGATGTGCTGGCCGTGGCTTCTCGCTGCCCCCATTGGCCCGGGACGGCGAACCACAGCCAGGGGGGCCGCGATCGTCCGAACCTGCCGCGTCAGCAGGTAAATAAACTGTCCCGGCCTGCCAGGGTGCTTGCCCTGGCAAGCCGCGTGCCGAACGTTGCCGACCCCTGGTTTAGCTTGTTACCGCGTGACACATTGAAAATAATATTTTCCTGCATTGCTCATCTCTCCTGAGAGAGATTCCTCAGGGGTGCTATCGGCCAAAGTTGTTTTGGTTTTTCAAATAAAATATTTTCCTTGTGCCAAGTTTGTTCTAAGATTAATTTTTTAAATATATTAATTTTGCTCTTGCTGAGGTCTTCTCCCTTAACTACTTTGATTAATAATCTGGAATGTATCCTCAGAAATGTCAAAGTGGCTGTTTGTTGTGGGTAAGCACTGAGATTACTCAATTCAAACAGCTGTTTCTAGGTCCTGAATTTGAAATCATACGAAGAGGTATGTAATAATGTAAAGATCCCATATTTTCAGTATTTACAAGTGAAACATTTTATTGTGAAACTGGGATATGAGGTGACTCTATTTGGACCTTTAACCACATTTTTGAGGAGTTTGACCCAGGAGCAAGCTGAAACAAAAGATTTAATTTCTTAGAGATACACTATTTTGATTGTAAAAGATGTCAATATGGAAACAACCCAGATGAAAAGATTGATCTAGATGAGTGGATCTTTGTGGGAAAGGGGATATCCAATTTTCAATTTTTATAGCTTATGAATATTTTTTAATAAATTACTGTATAAATGGCATTTACCCAGTTAAGATCCATCATATTTTTGCAACTAAGGAGGTGCTCTGTTGGAGGTGTTGCAGAGAAAGGAGAACATACTTGCACATGTGGTGGTTGTGTCCCAAATTAGATTGTTTTGGGAGGAAGTTATTAAAGAGATTCATTTTATGATTAAATGCTGGCTTCCTAGAGATCCCATGTCCTGCTTACTTAATGCTCCAGTAAAAGATCTACATTTTAAACAGAATGTCAAATTATTTTGTTTAATTGTTAGCTGCTAATCTTTGTACTGCACATAATTGGAAACATGTGATCCTTCCTCCTATGGAATTGTGGTATAGTAAAATGTGGACTATCCTTGTAATGGATAAGTTTGCGCACCAAGTGCATTCACAAGAGAAGCACCAAAAGGCGGATAGATATTTAGAAATTTTGTTGCCCTTTCTAGAGTATTCAGCGTTGGAGGGCTTCCCAGCCAGCAAGGCAGAATCTCTAGCCAGGTTCTTTGATTATTCACCTGATCCTGAATAAGTGATGTATGATATAGTATGGTAATGTTTTATTGTAATTCTTCCTCTAGTAAAAAAGTAAAAAACCCGTCAACCCTCCAACATCACAAGATCAAAAGACAGAGTGGTTTTTAAAAAAGTTTTAAAATATCATGATTTTTAAGCTAGTCTCATGACTTGGGGGGGTGTCCAACTCTTGATTTTTAAACACTGGGTGTTGGTGCAATTGATATAGAGTCTGCTATGTTCTGGCTTCCTCACTGGTGGATAACTAGTGAGGTTTGGAGACGATGCCAGCCTTTTCATAAACCAGAAAATGTTTCTTGGACATGACTGCCACTTTTGGACCCAGACTGGTTAGCATCGCCAATTGTTGTTGAACACTTGGTAGTTTAATATAAGTAGCAGCAAAAGTCAGAGCGGATTGCTTGGTAGGAGTGCTGGGAGGGAGGAGGAAGAGGAAGTTTTGTTTTTTTTTTTTTGGTGTGCTTATTTGCAAATGTTTTTCGCCTGACCGTATTAACATGTTCCCTTCCTGAGGCTGAAGTGCTTACACATCAGGATATTTTTAAACTTTTGGTGCTATGATTATGTCAAGTGATAAAATGGCATATTAGCTATCTCTTGGTTTTTTTACTGTTTCTCTCCCCCAGTTCTGTTTTCAAAGGCTTTTGTTCAGGCTGGGTAGCATTCCCCAAGTTTTTTATATTATAAACATAGCATCTTTATTAATTATCATAAAGGTGCATAGATGCAAGAGGACAGTGTGCAGAAGGAAGGATTTTTGGCAAGTTGTCTCTGAGAATTGGAAGAGCATTTTAGAGCTCAAATTGAGAGAAGGGGATGAAAGTGTTTGGGGTTGTATTGGCTTGTGTGAGGGATAGGAGGGGAAGGGTGTTGATGACATAGTATTGGGAGGCGTCCAGTCTCCCTCTGTTCCCTGCCCTTTAGCCTCCTTTGTCTATAATATCTGTGCACTCTCCCTACTTTAGTTCTGGTCCTGTGCATATGTGAGGAGTTTAACAGTGCACTCTTCCTGTCAGACAGCCACCACCTCTGTGATTTCAGATTGTGCTACTTTAGAAATTAAGCAGTTAACATAATTGTCTTTCATGTGGACTTTTCTTTGGCTTTGCAACAACATACTGTTACACTTGAATGGTTCAGGTGAGAATCCAAACGTTCTGTTCCAGCTGTCAAACATCCAAAGTCTCATGAGTCTGGATTGGCAGGCATGTTGTCTTGCCTGGCAAAAGGAGCCTTGTTCTCCAAGCCCATCAGGAGGTCAGACCAGATGATCATACTGGGCCGTTTTGGCCTTAAAACATATAACTCTCTGGAATGCAGACTTCAGGTTTTCCAAATCTTGGATTTAGAACCCACTCTGAATTGTTCATGTTTACCCATACTGATTTTTTTACACTATGAACAGTGTAATAATGGTAGCCATGTAACTTGTTCATCTCTGATACATGAGTTAGCTGTTACTGTGCAAGTCTCATTAAATTCAATATTTGTATTCTATAAGTAATAGTAATCTATTTTCACGAGGTTGTGTTGTATTGGATTTGGGTTCTTAATTTTTTTCATCCCCACCTTCCAGAAAAAGGTGTTTGTTTTTGTTGCAAATCTAAAAAAAAAACCCAGAAAGATTGAGATAAGAGGTGCTTGTGTTGCATATACATCAACATTGTAGCTACATGGGTTTTTTTTCATTGTACTACATCCCAATTTAATTCCAGTAGTGATCATGTGATCAGTCTTATTGTCTGAATAGAGTTGTTTTTCTCTTTCCCATCAGAATGCATGCTTTTAATATCTTTGTTGAGACATGGCCAAAATAAATCCTCATTAGTTTTATATTTTAAATTCTGTAGGGATGTATGTTTAATCTTAGAAATAAAACGACCTGTCAAACTGCTATATATCTTGCAGGCAGTGTTCCCCTTGTTTCTTCCTCCGAGCATACGCATTTTCAATGTATGTTCTGAAACAGCTAAAGTATTTGAGTAGAGTAACTGTAAAAGACTGGAAAAATGTGTTTGAAAACCCTGCTCTGTTGCCAGGTGGTGACTCTGTTTGAGAAGTCTTTTGCAAGTTATTCGTATTTACCAGACAAATATAAGGTATGTAAGAGTGGCTCTCTAGAGAGAAGAGGACCTAGAGTTGGGTCTGAAATTCCTGGGGAAGGAATGCTGGGGGAAATCAAGCCTAGAGAGAAGGCCTGGACTGGATTTTGAATGTCGTGTACTAAGAAGTGTGTGAGGAAGCCAAATGCTTGTAGCTTGCAACAGGCGAATTAACAATTCATTGAACTAAAAATACTGTGCCAATCTGGGAAAGATAAATGGTGCAGGCATTTTGTCCTCCCGACGGGCTGTGATTTTTTTAAAATTTAAGATGATCAACTATTTGTTTGAAAAGCAGTTGTTGCTTTTGCTGCCATGAATATTAAAGCAGCAAACATTTCAGTTTCATTATAAATTATTTTTTGTCTCTATTTCCATAGTATAGTGCACAGGGAGAGGACTATGGAGACCTGGGTTAGTTTCCTGAATTCCCCAGCTTTAAAATGATGCTTTATCCACCATTATAAAAAGCTTTGAGTTTGGTAGGTAAAAAGCACGACAGAAATGCAAAAAGTAGACTCATTGGACCCAAGTGCTAGTGAAAGGGACTCCTGCGCTTCACTTTTTCTAGTATGATGTGAATGCTTTTACAGAGTCAACTTAAAATCTTTAAATTCTGAGGTGCTGTCAACAGAAAAGCTAAATCCTAAATAAGTATATTAAAATATTGATATATTTTAAACTGAAAAACCAAGCCATTCCCTACATACAGATAGGGAAACAGGTAGACCTCAAGTGACCTGCCCAAGAAGTTAATAATTAATACTTGATCTCATTTTAACAGATAAACTCCTCTAAGATTTTTTTTAAAATGAGGTAAATTTTTAGAAATTAACTAACTTTTAAGGGGGACATAAATGGAGATGGCTTAGAGCTGCTTTCTGTAGCTCCATCATGATCATCAGAAAACAGGGGAAGTCAGGGGAGCTAACCCCTGTTTTTGAGAAAATGCAAGACGCTATCTGCTGAAACAGTCATTTAGTACTGGTGTTTGTGATAGTGCTTCCCTGTGTGGAGTCAGGAAGTAGTGCAAATTGATGAAGATTTGCTGTTACTGCACTGCAGTGGGGGAGCACTATTGTGTCCTGGTAGTAGACAACAGATAGCACTACAGTAAAGGAGAAAGAGGAAGAGAATTTTTTTTCCCAAGTTATTCTGTCCTGATGCTCTTTGTGAGAGAATTTAAAATAGTGGTTTTTTACATGAGAAAGTTCTTTGGACAAGTCAACTTATGATTGGCAGGGGAATGTTGAGTGAGGTGATGATAAAAGGAGGCTTAACAAAGGGAAAGAAAAAAAGGACAATGAAATAGCAGCAGGCCATTAAAGAGTAGTAGAGAAAATAATCTGAACACAAGGTCTTAATGAAAAAAGATACATCTTGAGAGTAGGAAGATGGAAAGAGAACTTGTTGTCCCAACGCAGATATAGCTGGTAATTTTTTATTGGTCTCTTGTTTTACGTTGATAGAGTGAAATAACTTATTCTGATTGTTAGACATGTAAGGAATTTTGGTTTCCTGCCCATGAAAAGGTGGCAAAATACATAGGTCTGACTACGTCTTCCACCAACAATTTCTTCACTGTTATCTCAGGTTGAGAATTGGGAAGGTAGCCTCAGTAGGCCATACAGTCATTAAAAATAGTAATAATCTTAGACCCATTAGACTTTTGGAAAATGCTAAATGCATTTTGATGGAAAAAAGAACATTTGTAACAATGCCACTCCCCTAATGATGTTTCTAGAATAGTAACGTTTCTGGCCTCTATGTTTACTGTCTAGGAGTCAGGCAGAGAAATGCTTTGAAACCGTTACTTGTACAGTTGAAAATGGCAAGTGTTTTGATTTCAGTAATTTCCCATTTTCTGAAGCTATAAATGATACGACTCATTTGTTCTTTTATAGGTAAATGGGGGCATTGAGACTACTTTAGAGAAGGAAGTCCTGCAGTATGACTACCATTCTTCATATTTTGATATATTTGTAAGTATTTTGTTTTAGAATGTCTTTAAAACATGCTTAATGCAAGAACTGGAATTTTTTTTATCCAGAGAGGCCTTATCTTTTATTATCCCATAGTTTGAGTCCTGTGCCAGGGTTAGATTTTCTTGTAATTTAAAAGAGAGGGAAAATGTATTCTAAATCACATCTCTCTTTAAATTAGGGTGTATAATCTTATGTTTGGGCAATATTCCAGAAATAGATCCAGCAGTAGTGAGGGAAGAATTGATCACAGGACAATAGCTGACATCTATATATGTCAGGTTTTGTTGCAGGTTTATGTATTTCAACTAAAATAGATTATTTTTTAAATTTTTATTTAAAATCTATGTTTAGATTCTATTTTAAATATGGATGACTGTAGGCATAATGACCCATTTGCTTCCCTCTACACACAGGCACTAGGAACAACAAGGAGCAGGGAGCAGCACCTCCACTGCTCATTCACTCTCCATATGGGTTGACAGAAGCCCTCCACTTCTTTTTTTTTTTGTAGACTGCAGCTTTGTGGCAGTGTCAAAGGGGACAAAGTCAGGGAGCAGCATTCTCCACGGCATGAACCATGCTGATATTCACATGCAAACAAATGCTTTTTCTTGTTGTTGGATCAGCAGGATTTGTAGGCTGTGCCCTCTTTCTTTTCCATAACGCTCATTCCTCTTAGGTAATATTAGGCCTTGTCTACCCTAGAGAGAACAATTGTTGACACAGCATTTGTTACATACCAGTTGTTCCACCACTGATGGATGCTTCGAAACTACTCATCTGGAATTAGTGTAAAATGTTGCTCGCATTTCCACATTGGTGCTGCCTTGTACCACTTTGGATGAGATGGCTGTTATGCTCCAGCAGCCAAGAGTTGTCCCACCATGCCATCTTCAGCAGTGCCCCCACAGTATCTCCCATCTCATAAAGCTAAAAAAAGCTATCTTTTTGTTCATTTTGATAATCCTGCAAATAAATCCAGCCTATAGTTAAAGCTGCTTATGTAGAAAAACATATAACTTGGAATGGAAAACTCTTGATAGGAGACATTAGAGACATTGAAATCCATAAATGATTTAGAGCTTACAATTAAAACTACTTTTGCCTCTAGCACAAATGTAATTAATCTTATTCAACTTTATACTTAAAGCTAGATTAGACTCAGTTGTTCTTCCAGAGCTATTCTCAGCTTTGATATTTTAATTGCCAAAGGAAAGACAATTCTCTTAAATTTAAGTGTTTTCCTGTTTCAAGTTTTGTGAACTTTTTTTGTAAACTCGTTTGAACAGATGATGCTTTACAGGTAGCCTGGTCTCAAGTAGGGCCCTACCAATTTCACGGCCATGAAAAACGTGTCTCAGACTGTGAAATAAGCCCTTTTCCGTAAAATCTGATCTCCCCTGTGATGCTGGGAGTGCCCCAGCCCGGGGCTCCTAGCTGCGAGTCCTGGCCGGGGAGGGACAGGATTTGCCCTTCCCATGCACAGCCACTCTCGGGGGGAGATCAGAGCCACCTCTGGGTGCCTCCCCCTGCTACAGGAAGCTCTGGGGCTGGACAGCAGCCCCAGAGGTTCTTGAGCCTGAGGAGGCTTGTGGAGGTGGGTCTGAACTCCCCCTTGGTGCTGGGAGCACCCCAGCCAGGGGCTCCTAGCTGCTAGTCTTAGCCGGGCTAGAGATGGATAGGACTTTCTCCTCACCTGCACGACTGCTCTCAGGGGAGATCAGACCCGTGTCCAGGTACCTTTTGGGTTGGGACCCCCACAGTTTCAACACCAGGAAATTTCAGATGTAAACATCTGAAAATGTGAAATTGACCAATTAAAAACCTTCTGGCCAGGAAATTGATTAAAATGGATGATGAATTTGATAGGGTCCTAGTCTCAAGGAATGAGCACAGGAATGGAAGATTGGGAACTCTAATTCAGAATTCTAATCACACCTGTGCCAGTGACTTACTCTTTGGCCTTGGGCAGGTTCCGTAAGCGCTCTGTGTCAAATTCTTCCATTGTAAAATGTGGATAACTGTGTGTCTGGAAAAATTATTTACATAGATCTTTGAAAATGTCAAATGCTCAAGACTAATTTTTGGACAGAGAAAACAAGTAAAACACATATGAAAAATTGCAGGCATTCTCTAAAGGGAAACAAATAACGATGACTAGTTATATGAATAGTTGTAAAACCTTTATTTCAATAAACATTTTAAATTCTTCATTTACAGAAATCATTGTATAAATATGTTCTTCCCCATCCCATAATTTGTAAGGTTAAATATTTAAAATATACTGACACAGTAACCCATTAGGTATTTGGCAGATTAACTATCTGAAAAGCTTAAATGTTCAGGTCCTGAACTGTACAGAAGTGTACCAGGTACGTATGCAGATTTAATGTACTTCAGCTGGGTGTCACACTGGTGCATGCTTGGAGGCTCTCATCTTGCAAATATTTATGCATATGCTTAATTTTAGTCTAATTGACAGCAGTGTTTTATAACTGTGAAGCCAAAATGTTGAGTTTATATCTTAATAAGCAAATCCATTTTCAAAGCTTTCCTAATAACCAGATTCCTTTCTTTGTGGTGTCCTGTTCATTTACATTACAAGCAGTTGGTATTTTCAGTCAGCTGAGTATCTTGCTGTTTTTTATACATTTGGAATTAACCAACAATTTTTTTCTTTTCTCTACAGCTACTGGCAGTCTTTCGATTCAACGTGTTAATACTTGCATATGCAATGTGCAGACTGCGCCATTGGTGGGCAATAGCTGTGAGTAGTAGCCAAGCACAACAGAGTTAACTTGAAATGGGTCAAACTTTGACAAATTTTAGATGGCTCCAAATATTAGTATGTTGAGAAGCATCTATATATAATAAAATAAATGTAAGAATGTGCAACAGGTACTGAACAAATGAGTCCTGGTCTTGAAAATTTTTCTGGTTGTTATTTGGTATACAAATAGTATATGGTAGTGACTCCTGAAGACCCATTTCCGTTCTTTGAAGAATTCCAACTACCAATTCCTTTTTTAAGTGAAAATGGGAGGAGGTAGATAGACCCTTTTTTCCCCCCTTACACTTTCTTATAATGCTCTATGCTGTGGTTAGCACATGTTGCTGTATTTGCCATGCCACTTCACAACCTCTTGTTCCATCTGACTTGGTTTCTTTAGACCAGAGTTTGAAAAATCCAGTTAACCATTGGAAACTAGGCAGCTTTATTCAGGGAAGGTTGTGGGAACGGAAAACGCCATATTGATACCAAAGTTAGTGTGCAGATATTCAATTACATGCTGCCGCCTCAAACTCTTGAGTTCATGTGTTGTACTCACTTCCACTTTCCTGAGATTTTAGGCATGTGTCACTGTGCTCATCTTGTTCTATACTCCGGTTCAAAGTGCTGCCCATAGGCCCCTGTAAAATGGGAAATTCTTAATGAATTTTACTCCAATACTCAAAAAATCCTTAACACAGCTATTTCTGTAACTGATATGAAGAGGAGAGGGAATTTAACACATTTAATGGCTCTGACTCATACTTCCATCCATATGGTGGTTTACAGTGAATACTGCAGGCTGTAATATAATAAAGCACCTAGTGCTGGCTTATTATACACCTCTACCCCAATATAACACGACCCGATATAACCTGAATTCGGATATAATGTGGTAAAGCAGCTCTCCGGGGGGGCAGGGCTGTGTACTCTGGCGGATCAAAGCAAGTTTGATATAATCCGGTTTCACCTATAATGCGGTAAGATTTTTTTGGCTTCCGAGAACAGCGTTATATCGGAGTAGAGGTGTATTGTGGATCCAAGAGAGCAATTTTTTCTATGTTGTCTTGCTATGTTTGTTTCATGGGCTGTGTTTGCATTTCTATGTAGAACGTTTTCAAAAGGGGCAATATACAATATGTCTTCCACTAGACTGGCTCTGAGCCTGAGTCTCTTGATTCAGTAAAAGTACATTGTCATCTTGCCACAGGTGTACATCTAATAGAAATTGCTGCTGAATGTGAGGGGACTAGTGATTTTTTTATTCTAAAATGTGTTCATCTCAAAATCCCCTTGCCTATAATTTTGACTTGTAGATTGCATCTTCCATCTTTACACAAGGGGCTGTGAGATAGCAAGCCAAACCCATCACAAGTGGTAAGCATTAGAGGAGATACAAAAACAGATTGGGAGTTTTTCTGGAAGAAGTGAATCTCATTTTAAATCTCCTTTGTTCTCATCAGAAGAGAACCACATGGTTTGCTGCAAATTGGTATTACTTGGAGAGATGTTGGACCATTGTGCATTAGCAGAGCTATGTAGTGAAGGATGCATAGTATCTGTTCACAGTATGTATAGGTCAAGTGAATACCATTAGCCCCTTGCTTTCATGATCACAAATTTCATTCACAAATTTATTTTTAGTCTCTCCTATTGCACTTAGCAATTCCCCCCCCACCCAAACCTCCCCAAAAAGACTTCATTATTTATGCCACTTGAAGTATTTTTCTAGGTTGTTTACCCAAATATAGTAGCTATATAGAATCATAGAATATCAGGGTTGGAAGGGACCTCAGGAGGTCATCTAATCCACGCCCCTGCTCAAGCAGGACTAATCCCCAACTAAATCATCCCAGCCAGGGCTTTGTCAAGCCTGACTTTAAAAACTTCTAAGGAAGAAGATTCCTCCACCTCCCTAGGTAACCCATTCCAGTGCTTCACCACCCTCCTAGTGAAAAAGTTTTTCCTAATATCCAACCTAAACCTCCCCCACTGCAACTTAAGACAATTACTCCTTGTTCTGTCATCTGGTACCACTGAGGACAGTCTAGATCCAT